TATTTTATTTGCTTATTCCATCATGATTTTGATAAATTAGCAGCTGACACAAGTGAAAATTATACTCACTTATTTTAATCACTTATCACTTATTTTATCACTTATTTTATCACTTATTATATCACTTATTTTAATGTTTGATTAACTCATGAAAACAAGAATAAAAAAATCAGTTATCCTTATATTTCTCAGGATGAAAATAAGTTATTGAACAAATTCCCAGTGAAGTCACAAATTCGCACCATTTGTTCACTTTCTGAAAACATCATCTGGAGGATTTATAGGGTATGAAATTAATGCCTATTTGATATAAAAATGTAGTATAATTGCCCAGAGATACTCATATGTAGCACACATATTTTGCCTTGTATAATGTGCACATTTTTGCCCAAATTTTTATGGGAAAAATAAAGATGTGCATTATACATGGGTAGTACTAATTCTGCATCTATATAAACGTTTTTAATTATTTATGCTTATGTGTTAAAAGTGTAAGTCTAGAAAGCAATTTTGATATCTGTATGCAAAATGATACCTTGGTATATGATAATTGGTTCTGTTTCTAAATATAAATAAATAAGCAATTGAATTAAAATATTAAAAAGATTTTTTCCTGAAAACTTGGGCCAAAAACATGGGCACACATTATAAATGGTACAATATGGTAATTGTTATGGAGATTAAATGAAATAACTGCTTAAAATCAGTTATTTCAATTAAAATGCTACACAAAATAGAAATTATTCTTTTACCTTTTATGAATCTAGGGTTTATTCATTATCATAATATGATATTAAAAAACCAAATTTATTAGGATAATTAATAGGTACTGAAATAATCAACATTAAATTTACCCCAACGTGATAAAAATATATAATGGTGAATGAGCATTTTTCCATATAGAATGTGATTCTTGCTTGAATAACCTTTAAACCATATTACAAAATACCTTGCTATTGTTTCAAATCAACAAAATATAAACATTTTAGAGTAGGAAGCAACACTGATGGAGTCTACTTCTTAAGGACGTTAGATCCAAAGGTGAAAAATTAGGTTCATAAAAAATAAATTAGACCCACACAAAATAAAATGCAATCCATGTGTCCATTGTGGAATCGAATTCAATAAAAGTACCAGTTTTATGGAATCAAAGTACCTTATCAAATCTCTCATTTTGACATTTCAACTGTAAGAATGTGTAGTGCAGTCAGGTAGGATGGCGACAGGCCTGAAGCAATGACTTTTAGTCCCTAGGAAAGCATCAAAGGCATCAGTTCCTCCACTTTGTTTTCCTCCAGAGTGGTTACTTTTCTTTCAGTGCTAGAGCCCTTCCTGTCAACCTAAGGACTACCCCCCCCGCCCCCCCCCCCCGTTCTCCCAGCCTGTGAAAGCAGCTTTGAACAAAGAAATGATTCTCTTGTAGTGGTTTAATGGTGCATTTTTCATTTAAAGAGACAGAATTAGTGCGATGGGAGCCAACACAGATTTTGTCATGTACCACCTAAATTTGTAGCGGGTAAGCCATTCATTCATATAGAATTACTTTAAGCATATCACAAATTGAACACAATACTCTAATGAAGGAAAATGTGACAAGTATGTCAGGAAATTATACGTTGGAATTCTTCTGACAAACCATTTCCAAATCACTTTTGTTGTCTGAATTTTCTAGAATGCATAGTAGAGACTTTGTTCCCCTACCTAGTCACCTTTTTAGAACTAAGGTTTTCAAAGCCTATAAAATGAACCTGCACTTTTGCTTTTCATGTCTTACAATTTCACAGTTCTTTTACTTCTGTTTTTATAATTATCATCATAATTATCCTCTGAGGGTGAGTGTCACCTACCCAACCAGTGACATTGACTATAAAAAACACCACTTGCATTTCCCTATCAATTTACAAACTAACCCAAGGCTACCTCAGGAGTGGGATGTGGAGGGAAGGTGTAAAAAAAAAAGTAAGGTTATCATTTGTTCATGAAAGAGAGACAATGTTCAGGGATTATTTTCCCTGAATATCAGAGGTAAATTTATCATGCTTTTATAAAACTAAGCAGTGACCCTTTATAATCCTATTTAGTAGCTAAATATATTGGTCATTCAAAGACTTAAACTCAGCATCTTGAAGGAGAAACCATTTTCATTTTAAAGATAACTACATTTTCAATTGGCAAATGCAAGGGTTGGAATCCAGTAATGGAGACTGAGAGACCAAGTTGAACTTGTTTTATTTTGGTGTATTTATATATCTTTACCAAAGACAAGACGGTTTGGAGTGTTTGTATTAACTGACTTCTGTGAGCACAGGCACTGTTTGTCTGTTTTGTTCCCTGGTTTACTGTCAGTGCCTAGAGCAGTGCCTGACATATGAAAATTGCTGCAGTAAATATTTGTTGGATAAGTGACAACACTGTTGCTTCTGGGTTTGCAATATGTGTATCCACTTCAGTTGTAGAAATGGTGGTGTCTGGTCCTTTTCCATTTGTCTTGGTTTTTAAAACCTCCAAACAAATTGGCAATGATAACCCCGTGAAAATGTTTCATATGATGACGTTATTGAAGGTTAGAATGGAACAGACTCAGAACGGGCGGAGGGATGGCGACTGCTGGCAATTAGGCCATTGTCTTCACTCTTCCTCTCCTGTCGAAATGTTGCAATGTGTGCACAGTGTTTTAAAATATGCGCCATAGTACTCTTCTGCCAGTTGTAATAATGTGTAATACCTAAGGGTAAGATAAGAATAGAGTGGTACTTTTAATTCCAATTGTCAGTGTCCTCACTTGAATTTTGCTTATGTTTGCATGGTATTTATAAATTAACACTCATAGACACTCAATTTTTTCAGATGTCCTAGATTCAAGTGTGTAGTCCACATGTGTATGTATGAATCTTAACTCCTAGTAAGTATGAATGGTGTATTTTATTCTTACATTAATAAAAGAGTATAAGGCCAATAATTCATTCGCAACTGTATCTTCAGATTTCTATATTAAGTAATCCTGGTGCTAATCATTGAGCAAAGAATGCTAAAAATATCACAGGCAATAGTCTTTTTGTGTTGTTTACTAAGAGAGAAAATGCCTTCAGCATTAACACTACTTACTATTATACTTGAAACATTTTATAAATGCCATTGATCACTCAACACAAGAAACTGGTTTAGCCCATAATTCAGTGATAAGAAAGTAAAAAGTCATGTGTTTCAACTTCATTTGTTTCCCCTCATAACCTAAACCATCTCAATTGTTGTATTACTGATTGCAAATAGGAAGGTTTCTTTTTCTCCACTTTTATATTTTCTGACCTGTCTATATGCATATTTAAAACAATATTTATCTAGTTCTAGACAGACAGGAAGGGAGAGAGAAAGAGAGGGAGAGAAACATCCATGTGTGGTTGCCTCTTGTGCACCCCTCACTGAGGAACCTGGCCTGCAACCCAGGCATGTGCCCTGACTGGGAATCAAACTGGCGACCCTTTGGTTTGCAGTCCACCACTGAATCCACTGAGCCACACCACTCAGGGCTACATATATATTTTTAATGCTGATAATATAGTTACACAGTCAGAAAATGATTTAAGGTAGTACAGTGGTCTGACATAATTGGAACATAACATTTATAGCAAGACGTAGTATTTCATGAGTCCTGTTTTTAGATCCATTAGTAAACTTTTGTGAATGTTACCAGTTACCAATAAATATTGAGAACTTCCTTAGCTGCTCTTTCAAAACTTCTGAATACATTGATAGCTGCATTAATCTATCATTTAATTATAAAACATTACATCTGATAGGATTTAGTGCAGTGTGGTACAAATTTGATTGTGTTTATAAATAATATCTAGAGGCACATTAAATGCTTCATGATACTAGATCTTAAAGTTACTTAATATACAAAATTGAGGCTATATCAAAAACATCTAGTTGAGAATAAGAATTGATAATTAATAAAGGAAAGTGAAAAACTTACAAATTTCAAACAATCAATATTTGTTACCGAATTTTGTCAGCAGAACAGAGAACAGAAATAATTTAGCAGATATTAGTGAGTTTAAAAAATAAGCAAGTGAATAAAACAGATAGGGAGGTTGATTGCTTTTTGACTCACTGTTTTAAGTGAGCGAAATATTTTCAAATGCCTTTCTCATTTTTAAACTGTAGTCAAGTGGGGTAATTTTTACTTCATTGTGCACATATGAAAACCCATTGCACATGGGCTACTTTCTCCCACATATAAACAGAAATTCTAAGAGCTGAGAGGGCTTCCAAACATTTGGTGCCATGCTTCCACTGAGTGTTTGGATGTCATCTGCTATATCATAAATCTGTGCAGTTAAACATTCCAAAATGTTTTAGCAGGCATTTGTTTGTGTTGATTCGAAAGTTGGCTCCCTCTAACTCATTGTTATTCTTTTCCTTTCGTTCAAAGAAAATCTAGTTAATACCCTTTTCACATGATAATCCTACCTATGTTCAGGTACTTGTCATATCAACCATCGTTTTCTGCTAAAGGACTTTTCTGTAATCTACAAGTCCCTCATATGTCCCGTGTCTTTGTGTTGTTTTATTTAGATCTATTTCACATTTTGAACAGAACAGAACACCCCCAACATTGTATAAAACCTTAATTACAAATGAAAAATTGCATTTGAAATCCATAGCATAAGAAAGAGTAATGACTTTATTTTTGTGATTGGCAACATATCATATCCCCTTACTTTTCCTTAACCATTGAATTAAATACTTGAATTATTTTATCACTTTTAACTATGTTGATATATTACAGTATTATTTTTATATATTTTATCAATGATGAACACATAAATTCTTGTTTTGTTTACCTTCCATGTGATAATATTTGGATTCAAAACAAACCTGTCGGTTTCATAGTGTTGATTTTACTAATATTTTTGTTTAATGATTTTAATTATTAACATACATTTAATTGTTGGCTTTACTAATTTCTTCTTCCTCTTCCTCTCTTCTCTTTCTCACAGTTCCCTACGGAGGGGACCACGGGCACCACTGCTGTACACTCTAATCGGAGCTTACTGTCCCAGACGTATATATTTGCGGCCCTCTTGGTATGCATCACGTTCCAATCTGGTGCCCAGATGAAACAGTATTACATTCAGGAAGAACTTCCAGACAACATCCTGATAGGCAACTTGATGAGAGACCTCAACCTGACGCTAATGCTAAACGTGTCCTTAAAGATTCCCTTGAACTTCAAGCTTGTGTACAAGCTTGGGGAATCGCCGCTGGTCCGAATCCAAGAGGATACTGGAGACATCTTTACCACTAATGTCAACATTGATCGGGAGATATTATGCCCTGAGATCGTGAATAACGCTGATTGCTTTTATGAAGTGGAGGTGGCCATTTTGCCGGATGAAATATTTAAACTAGTTAAGATACGTTTTGTGATAGAAGATATAAATGACAACGCACCGTCATTCCCAACGACGATCATCAACATAACAGTTCCAGAGAACTCGCTTGTAGGTTCTCGCTATTCTGTCCCAGCAGCCTCCGATGCTGACATAGGAATAAATGGAGTCCAAAACTACTCTTTACTTGCGGTGCGTTTTAAAAACCCTTCCCTCGACATAGCTCATTGTGTGTTTAAAGACAAATGAGGGTCTTAGTGTACTTAAAATTTTGAGTGGGTCATGATCTCAATTTTTCAAACTTTAAGCAAAGTAGAAGTGCAGAAATCTTATCAATAGAATGTTTGCAGTTGCATGGGGTTTATTAATCCGGATCTTAATTTTCTGTATATTCATTATCACGCACTGTTTTGTATTTCTGATGGTCCCCTACAGCAGTCAGACAAGCTGTTCAGCTCTGCTGCTGACAAATCAGTAACCGACCCATGATCTTACTTTTAACCTGTCTGGGAGAGACTGTCACAAACTTGACGTAAACAAGTAAATGTAAACATTAATAATGAACACACAAACCTATCAGTTTTTCCCTGTGATTATTTTAGATACAAAGCTCTATCTTGCCTATTGAAAATATGCCAGATACATTTCTGGAAGCAGTGACTACAAAATTTCCTTTACTAGCATTTTACATGCACATAGACAATAATGATAAATATTTTTCATAATGATTTTCAACTGAAGAGATTTCAGCATTTCAAGTCATCAAAATGAGAGTACATTTCAGCCAATGTGTTGTTAATGTTAAACATTTTCATTTTGTTCCAATTCTTTGAAAATACAGAGCATAGATTTAATCAAGCCATTTAGTGAAAAAGCTCAAATTGATGTGAAGAACCTATATTGCCTTTAGTTGGCTCTTGGAATGGGGAAGACAGAGGAAAAATTAAATGGAGTATTTGATAGTTTTGAAATAATTTAATTACCTATATGGTATATAGAGTAATGGAAAACTCAGATTTGGCTATGTAAAATAGTACAATGCATGCAAATGATACTGCAAAATGTATAAAAGGACAAATGTGTAGATTTAATATAGATATGATCAAGGGATTTTCAAAGTTTTATAAATATTTTCTGACAGTACATTAACAGATTGCAATTAACATATAATCAATGTTAGAAATATTCAAAGAACATATAGATAAGATACTACCTAAAGGTTTTGGCCTTGGAGGGGGCATAAAATATGGGAAAACTGCTCAGCTGATACCAACCTGTTGTGAAGAAATATTTGTTTATAAATACTTTTAGGAACTGAAAGCTACAGATCTCTTGAGTGAATTGGATTGAAATGCAGACTTGTGTGCAAGTATAAGAGGTAAAACCAGAAAAAGAAGTGATACGTTATTTATAAATGCACAGCTTTAAGTAAAACCCATGAAGTGATTGATACCTCTTTATCTGATGAAATGGATCTAATATGTAGAACCCAGCCAGATACTCATCACAATTTTCTGTTTAGCAAAATGAGAGATGTACCTCCCGCTTAACCTTTGTGCCCTTTAGTTTCTTCTGTCGTCATGTGATCAGACGGACAGACCTTTCACAGAGGCCGAATTGGAAAGAGTAAGCAATAACTACAGAGTGCATAGACCTGCATAGAAGATTTTTGGGGATGTTTTAAAACACTGGGCTCCTTATTAAAATGTGAGGCTTAGTGGATGCTATTTTTTTCTAATTTTTATTTTTTATTGATGTTTAATTACAGTTGTTCCAGTCTTTCCCCTACTGTTCTCCCCTGCCCACCCCCATACCCACAGTCAGTCCTCACCCCCATTGTCCACGAGTCTTTTATTACATGTTCCTTGACTGGACCCTTCCCCTTCTCTCCTTCACTATCCCTCTAACAGAACTTTCTGCAGTGACTCCATTTTGATACCATGGAAATGAATTTTAAATTGTATTTAGTCTTAATTTTAATAATCACGTGTGGTGGTGGCAACCACATTCGTTAGCACAGCCTAAACAAAAACACTTGAATTGGAAAGTAAAAATCAGTTATTAGACATAGGATCTCTGTACCTAGCCATCCCGAAACAGGTATTGTTTTGAAAGGCAGTGTTTTAGTCAAATAATAATTTTTTGGATATCTTCCTCTAGGCAGCTTATGAACTTCTTAAAAATTTTTTTAATTTATTTTTTATTGATTATGCCGTTATGGTGGTTCTATTCCCCCCTTCATTCCCCTCCACCCTACCCCCCCGTCCCCACCATTACCCCCCTTTAGTTCATGACCATGTGTCTCAAGTTCTTTAGATTCTATATTTCCCATACTATTCTTGCCCCCCCATCTATTTTCTATCTACTGTCTATGCTACTTATTTTCTGTACCTTCTTCCCCCTTCTCCTCCTCCCACTCCCCTGTTGCTAACCCTCCTTGAGATCTTCATTTCTATGTTTCCACTCCTGATCTAGCTGTCCTTTTAGTTTGCTTTTGTTTTAGGTGTGGTTGTTAATAACTGTGAGTTTGCTGTCCTTTCACTGTTCATGTTTTTTTAACTTCTTTTTCTTAGATAAGTTCCTTTAACATTTCATATAATAAGGGCTTGGTGATGATGAATTCCTTGAATTTGATCTTATCTGAGAAGCATTTTATCTGTCCTTCCATTCTAAATGAAAGCTTTGCTGGGTAGAGCAATCTTGGTTGTAGGTCTTTGGATTTCATGACTTGGAATACCTCTTTCCAGCCCCTGCTTGCCTGTAAGGTCTCTTTTGAGAAACCAGCTGACAGTCTGATGGGAACTCCTTTGTAGGTGACTGTCCCCTTAGCTCTTGCTGCTTCTAGGATTCTCTCCTTCATTTTAATCTTGCCTAATGTAATTATGATGTACCTTGGTGTGTTTCTTCTTGGGTCCAACTTCTTTGGGACTCTCTGAGCTTCCTGGATTTCCTGGAAGTCTATTTCCTTTGCCAGATTGGGGAAATTCTCCTTTATTATTTGTTCAAATAAGTTTTCCACTGGTGGCTGTTCCTTTCCCCCTTCTGGTACCCCTATAATTCGGATGTTGGAGCATTTAAAGATGTCCTGGAGGTTCCTAAGACTCTCCTCATATTTTTGAATTCTTGTTTCTTGACTCTTTGCTGTTTGGCCATTATTTGCTTTCTTCTGATCCATTCCATTGATTTGAGTCCCAGTTTCCCTTTTATCACTATTGGTTTCCTGTGCAATTCCATTCATTTCAATTAGTTTTGCCTTCATATGTTTCTCTAATTTGTGGCTATAATCCACCAGTTCTGTGAGGATCCTGATCACCAGTGTTTTAAACTGTGCATCTGAGAGTTTTGCTATTTCTTCATCACTTAGATTTATAGGCTCTGGGGCTTTGAGATCTTCTTGAGCCATTTTTGGTCTGTTTGCACCCGTTAAGTATGAGGAGCAGAGCCTTGGACTCCCAGGTAACTGGGTTGTGACTCAGTATGTGAGGCGGGGTCAGAGCCGGGAAATGGGGGCCCCGCTTGCTGTTTCTTGCCGCTGGGTGAAGAGCAGAGCCTTTGGTTGTTCACTGGGGCAGGGCCACTTAGGTCGCTGGATTATGACGCTGTATATGGAGGCGTGGTCAGAGCGGGGAAATGGCGGCGCCCTCGGCCGGCGGCCGCTGGGGATGCTGGCTCTTGTCCAATCGCCCACTCCCTCCCTTGTCTATCCACACACGAATGCGTGACCACAGTCAACCCGCAGCCCTGCTCCCTTGCTGTTTCCCCGCGATTGCTTGCTGAGTTGCCCACCAGGTCCAACCCTGTGCCTGGATTCTGTGCGCCTGAGTCCGTCCGACCGAGTTTTCCGGTGCTACCCCAGTCTGCCAGCTGCTGGTTTCGCCCCTCTTACGTGTCAGGCTGAAGAATTTGTTGTTACCAGACTTCTGAAAAGTTCAATTTTCTGTGTTCTGGCTGTGTTTTCTGTTGCTATTATTTAGTTGACTCTAAACTTGGTTGTGTGAGGAAGCACGGCATCTCCACCTATGCCTCCATCTTGGCGGAAGTCCCCCCAATTTTTTTTTGTCTTGGAAGCTGCTTACTAACTTCAAATAAAACAAATAAACCTACTAGCATTCTTTTAACTTTGTCACAATATGTTTTTGTTCGAGTTTCTTTGAGAGATTGCCAGGAAATGACAAAAAGACAGGCTCCCTCGTAGTTCTTAGAACACACGTGCTCTAAACCTTCACTCTGCTTTGGAACATACGATGAGCCAAAAGCGAACTATGAGATGCATCTAAAGTACTGGGGCATTTGTAAGGCACCATGTACAAATACGGTCTGCCTCCTTGTTAAAAATAACGAGCATGGAATACAAAGCATATAGCCCTGGGCACGCAGAGGGCTGTGGCATGGGTGATATTACTGGGAAGAACTTTGACTTACAAAAGGCCCCTGTCATGAAAGTAGTATGTATGGTAGGGCAATTAGAGAAGTGATTTACTAAAAAGCAACATGTTTTTATTCATCCATAAAATTTACTGAGTGTTACAATTTGAAAAAAAGTAGGCCGACCAGAGTAATTTTAAAAGACCCTCTGTCCTGCAGAGTAACATAAAAACTTAGTTAATGCTAATTTGTTCTATTTTTGTTGAATAGACGAGACTAGAAAAATCATACTTTATCCTAACCAGAGAAATATGACATTTGTATGAAAAGTTCTGACAACAAAGGGAGAAAAGGGGGAGATATATATAAAATCTCTAGGTAAAAAAAGGTCAGTTTATACATGAAAAGGTCCTGCTATCTTATAAATCCTATAAATCTTATAAAGAAATTGTATACAATAACCAAAGATAAAGGGAGCAGTAGAGGAGTGGTGGAATAAAGAATCCCCTGGGTTTCTCCCCTTGAAGTTTCAACAACTGGAACAGCTATAACTCACTGAAGGATTCCCTGCTCAACACACAAACACACCTGAGAGATCTGTGCATTAAAATATGTAAAGGTGGGCAACTAGGCCTGAATGGGGCAGGCAAGAAGGAAAAAAAGCTGAAATGAGCCACAGACACAACCCTGCAGCCAGAAGCTCACAGTGGTGCTCAGCCAGGAGAGGGGAGAAATAAAGTTGCGCCTGGCCCTCCCCGTAGCCAGGAGGAGCAAAGACATTGGACAGGCATTCCTGCAGGACTGGGCAGGAGGAGCTGGAGCTGAGC